ATATATATATCCATAAAAATGTAAAATATATATTCCTATAAAAGCATCTCTAATATATCTCCCATTATGGGAAAATATCACAAACGTCTGTCGGAAACGTATCCGGAGACGTTTATCTCAAACAATGCATAAATCTTCGCCGGGTTGGACGAACAAACTGACTTTTTCGATAGAAACTCTTTTAAAAGGATCATTAAAATCGTTAACGCTTCTATTAAATAGTCATCAAATAAAATGTGTCTCCCGTATCATTCGAACAATAAAATTCAGATAACAAAATCAATGAATCTTGGCAAGGTGTGGAAGCACAAATATATAAACGCAACATCTAAAAATGTATAAAAAGGAAAAGAAGTAAAGAAAATAATATCGAACTCGCGCTATTCATTTTCATACGCGAGATAAATACCTTGAGATTAATATGAAAAGCAAATATCCTTTCGTCAATGATGCCACGTAAAACTAACGAAACACAAAAAATTGTATCAATGTCTGCCAAAGTAGGTACACCTTCGAACAATGTCCTGCTACAGGAGACTGTTCTCGCTTGCCATTCTCTATCTCTCTCCTTATAATGCCTACATTCCTAACTTAAGTTAAAACTGTTTTGCTGTACTTACATCAAAGACGATATATCTAGTCTAACAATTACAATATTTTACAAAAACATCTGAAATCTGGCCCTACAGCAGACATGAAATGTCACGAAGTTAGTCATACACTGTACACTAAATTTAAAATTTACACAAAATCATCATTTTAATATACATTTGTTGTATATACGCACCTTGATAAGGTTATTTGTACATCACGCTTATGCCATTTTTATCTCGTGATATTCGAAAGAAACATTAAGTGGCTTTCCGAAGGCTGCGATCGTCGAGTCGAAAATCCGCTGCCTTTTCATCCGCTTTCTCGCGGCTTTCATTTTTTTGTTTATTTATTTATTTATTTTCATCATTACGATACGTTCCTTTAAGGAGAGTTTGTTTTCAAACCCATATCATATAAGATTCATAAGAATTATAAGTTTATATATTATGCGAACTAAGAAGCACTCGCATTTAGTGTAAAGTGTAAGATAACTTGTACACTTAAGCCTCAATAATAGATAATAGGTAGAGTCTAGAAGTCGTGCGAGAAAGCACAGGCGTGAATAAAAAGTAACACTTTCAAAAGTCTGAAGCGCGTTAGTAAAACGCACGACTTTGTCGGGTACGAAAGCGGGACATACTCGAATGGTTTATTGCTATAGGTATATGTTTATATATACCTCCCCCCCCTCCCCCGTTAAATCAACTACAGGAACGTAGCTGTCTAAAGTAACATCATCGTAACCGCCGTGCTTCGCGTATTACGTCTGGCCTTCTAATATTTAAAATGTATAATCTATGTTCCTTTATAGTAATAAAAAGCTGCAATCTCTGAAAATAGTTTGATGATGAGTAAAATGAATAACATTCAATAAAACGAATCCTATTCGAAAGCGCGCGCAGTTATAGCACATAGTTTTTTTTATTTCTCTTTGTCATCGGTCGGCTGCTCAGGATAAGCTGTATTATACGCAGTCTCAGTTGAGGTATTTGCGACATTTGCGAGAACCGCAAGTACACGGGATCTTGATATCCTCGAATGGGAATTTGTAGTCGTATGTCAACTCCTCCCCTTGAATAATGCGACGAAGAGCAAAGATTAGAATGTGTTTCTTACCCAGAATGTCTACTACTCGCGAATAACAGTTTGGCTGTAACATATAACATACGTTTGTGAGATTTATATATATATATATATATATATATATATATATATGAGTCATAAGTGATAATTACATAATATTGATTGATATAATTGATTCCTAATAAATGATCGATATAAAAGTAAAAAATTAGAAATATCTTGTACCTCACAAGAATGATTGATAAATCTAGCTGCATTCCCTTTCATAGTAGCATCAACAACTAGATGATCATCGATTTTAAACATGTAACAGCCTATGTTCTTACTGTCATAATACTTTTCTCTCTTGTCGGTCAAGCAGGCTCGAATAACCTAATAAGAATCGATAATTTCAATGATAATAATAATAATAATAATAATAGCTATAATAAGTACTGCGACATGACCTTCAACATTCACAAATAATTGCTTACTACTTACCTCACCAGCATATTCAATAACCATCTCACCGGGCTCAATATCTCTCAAACAAAATAGTCCTCTACCATGTATGTGGGAATAGTATACACCGACAGATACTTTTGATGTTTCCTTAAGTATTCTAAAACGCATTGCCATAGGCAAATTGGTACTCACAGCTCGCCTGAAACGACATTCGCTTCATTAAATAAACATAAAAATTATTAATAAAAAAAGAGTATTATTTTATTAAAAAAGAACGCTTATTTTTAACGCTGGAACTATGATAGATTCCACATGCAATTTTAATTCAGGAAAGAGTATCTATACCCAATGTGTAACATATATAAAAAAAAACGCGCGATTATTAATAAAAAAAAAAAATGTATAATTAATAAACTAAAAATTACGATCATCAATTTTAGAATCATCAAGATAACGCGCGACTTTTTCGCCTGCGTACGTGTGATAAGTTTTACCTCGATTCCGTTTCCGATATAGTAATTATGTTTGGATGCGGCCTGTGCTGCGACGCCAACCAACTGAACATATCGTGGACTTTCCTGCCCTTGAAGGGCTCCGCTCGTGCTGCCCCACTGGCGCACGCCGCCGGCAACTCGTTCTCCATCTCGTCGGCTTTCGGCGGCGCCAGGGTATGGAATTTGGGCTTGTATTTGCTGCATCTGTTGACGCCCGGCAGTTGTTCGATCAAGTAGACAGCCGCGTTGTTCTCCAAACCAAGACCCTCGGATAAGGGATTATGAGGCAGAGGAGGCAAATTGTGAGTCCTGCGTGCATTCTGCACCGCTTGATACACAGTTTCCCAGACCTCGGTCATGGACGAGGCGGTATGAGTAAAACCGTCCTGAGATTTAATCTCGTACATCAGGATCGGTCCCTTTGAGAAATTCTTTTGCACCTGCGGCGGATTCTGCGGCGGACTATTCCGCACCGGTCTGATCGATTTCGTCAGTATTCTGGGTTTCTTGACGGCTACAGGCGGCGTCTTCGCCTTGAGTATATTCACCTTCGCGTCCGCGGGCTTCACCTTATCCTCGAGCTTGTTCGTCTTGAGCGTGAACGTTTTAATAGGTAACAGTTGTAAGGACGCGATCTGAGGTATCTGCTTCGACGGCAGTATTTCGACAGATGTCACTTGCGGTGTCTTTTTATTTTGAGTGACCGCCTTCATATTACGCGTGATCTTGTAAGAGCCGTCCTGTAGCTGTTTTTGCAACACTATCTTCAACGACGTGTTTTGTAGCTTCTCTTTTTCAAGCTCCAGTTTGAGATTTTCTTTCACCTTCTCTATGGTTTCCGTATTTAGTTTGATGTTATCGTTAAACTGCCCGTCGAGGGCAGTTTCGGGTTTTTTTATCTGCATTATTTGCTCGGTTATTTCTTTCTTTGATTCCACAATTTCCGGCTCTGCTGGTTTGATCACCGGTTTCGTTGGCTCTTCGATCACCAAGTCATCCTTCCTCGCCGGATCCTGCTTTGGCGTTACAGCTTGCATAGGCAACACCCTGTTCATCGGTCGAATAGTTGGCATATTGTTGCTCGTCGGCATCGTGATCTTGTTTTGCACGGAGCTGGAGTTGGAAACGACGATTGGATTATTATTGTTGACGCTTATACAGTTCATAGAGTTGGGACTCGGCGCGGTGCTGCCGTTATAGCTCTTATGCACGCTATTTACATCGTGATTCAACTTATTATTTACAACTAGATTCCTCTGCGTGACATAGTGATTCGATAGGGGCGGTATCTTGGACGATGATATGCTGGACTTGATCATGCTGGTGTTCTCCGACACGTGCTTTGAATCAAAGTATGGCCGCACACTGTTGCTGATCGGTTGTTCCGCACCAAAGAGCGGCTCTGTTATCTTCCAGGTAGCTCCATGATTCGGTTGAATCGAATGCGCGGCCGGACTAGGTCTCACCGCAACGCGGGGTATCGTCGGCATCGAATGTGGCGGCGCCGGCGGCGGCAACGGCGATGGTGGTGGCGGCGCCGGCGGCGATATCTTCGTCGTTACCACGCCCGCTGACGTCGCGTTCGACGAGCACACGTCCGCTACTTGTATAGACGTCATTGGATGTTCCATGGTTGTTCCATTTGGACACGGTGTCGGTGATATGGCGCTACAGGCGACACCACCATAAGTTCGTTCCTGGGGCATAGCAGAGATGTTGATCTGCGGTGGTGTCACAATTGGTTCCACCGATAGCGTTGGTGCTGATATTGATGCTGGTGCTGGTATTAATGCAGAAGTTGGTATTGATGCCGATGCCAATACTGATGGCGGTGATGATGGTGGTGGTGGTGGAGGTGGTGGTGGAGGTGGTGGTGATGGTGGTGGTGGTGGTGGTAGTGGTGGTGGTGGTGGTGGTGGTGGTGGTGGTGGTGGTGGGTGGTG